TAGACAGTCCTATCCTAGTCTAAGTATAATAATAAAGAATAGTTTAAGAAAATATAATAGACCTCGAATTTGCGGCGCGTATCTAAGAATGGCATATCCAATCTCCTTTAATTAATCTGCCCAATGCCCCTCCCTCTGGATCAACAAATATTTTTTTGAAAAAAAGATCTTCACATATAATTTGTACTCTACTTTAGTAAACGTCCCTTTTGATCATCGCTGTGTCTTTGTCACAATTTTAAAATTTTCAAAAATGCTTCCAACACTTTGAAAAATCAAAGATTATATCGTGATACTGGCAAAAAAACATGGAAATATCCTCTCAACTGAGAAATTAGATCAACGTAGATGCTCTCACACTTGAAAAACTTTACGGAAATGCTTTCACATTTTGACTACACCACTTGTGAGGATCCGAATCCTCTGTCGAACCTCATGGTGCTGCTCCTAGCCATAGCTGAACCTGTAACAAAACTCAAGAAGAGAGAATGAGGAAGAAGATGAACAGGGACTGAGAATTGAGACTGAGATTGAGAAGAATGAAGACAGGAGTTGAGTTTGAGGGGAGAACAGAAATTAGAGTTGAGAGGAAGAACATAATTCTTATTCATTCATATCATTTTAGTTTACAATCCATTCTTTATACTCCAGCTCAAAACAAAGAAACACAAAAACGTGCACAAAAACGTACACGGCTGAACAAACAAAACAGAACAGAATTAACTGTTCGTAACAGACTTTTACACATTTATTATAAAGCCCCTGTATTCAAAACATGTGCACAACAGCTCCACAAGTGTATCAGCTCAGTTTTCCCCTAGTACCTATGTCCTCCAGCTCCGCAAACAGGTTTCTAGTTATCAATTCATATGACAGGTTTGTGGATTGATCTCCGGAACCTGACAATTGATCTCTAGTTCCTGACAATTCCCTCCCCTTAAATTGGACCTTGTCTCAAGGTCAAGTGTAGGAAATTGTTTAACAAGTTCCGAGGAAGGTCTCCAAGTTGAATCTAATGAAGTGCGCTGCTTCCCTTTGACGAGAACTTGAGATGTCAAGCGATTCCCTTTGACAGTCGACCTCCTGTCCATAATTTGCCCTGATTCAACAACTATAAGCTCACCACGACTCATTTTTGAAACAATTTGAAGAAACTTTGAATTCTGAAATTTTTGACTGAGGAGATCAACATCAGCTAAATTCTTCAAATCAACAATCGAAAGCACATCGAGCCTTCTAACCACAAGATCAGCTACACCGAGCTCATACATTGGGTGCTTGCTTGCGACCCCAATACACTTCATTCGGGCATCATGGGCTGCCTCAGTAGAATTCGAATTCCCAAAAACAATACATCTCTCAGGTATAAAACTAAGCAATTGAGCCACATGTACAAAC